TATCTTCAAGTTGTGCTCTCTTGAAAATTTGACTTCATTTGTCAAGTTCGAACTCAAGAGCTCTGCAGCCCGCTCTGGGTAATCAGGATTAAAACTGAACAACAATTATTGTGTGTCATCTGCATATGACTGAATATGAGAAAATGAAGCACTTGAGAACATATGTGCTGTGACATCAAAAGCTTTAGAGTGATCTAACAAAACCGCAATAGCAGCAATATTTTTATCAAGTATTTTTACAATATTTTCGGTAATATCCAAAAAAGCTGTGGTTGTACTGTGATTCCCCCGGAAGCCTGATTGGTGTACTGGAAAAAACTTATTTATATTGAAATACATATTCTGTTATCCATGTAATACCTTTTCCAATATTTTAGAAATAACAGGAAGCAAACTGACTTCACCTCTTCAGAAGAAGATTTGGGCAGGGGACAGACAAGGGAATCTTTCCACTGACTGGGAAAGTATCCCCTCTCAAGGCAACAATTTATAATGTGGGTAATATGCGATATAACAACATGCAGACATTGTTTAAACATTTGTAAGGTGATGCCATCAATACCAGGGCCGGTATTCTGGTTCTCAAAAACGCTCACCGCTTTCTAGTCGTTCGGCACTTTAAATGCAAATTTACATTGAAAGTGCCGAGCGACTGAAAAGCGGTGAGCGATTTCGAGAACGAGAATACCGGCCCAGCTGCGTTCGATATCATACTTTTAATATACTTACAAACTTCAGATGGAAGCACTAGCCGAAAAGTAAATTTAATTTGATCATCTTTCCTATTACCATTTTAATACAAAATTCTACTACTACAGTTGTTTGTTTTTTGAAAAACGCTGCAGAAATACCCATTTATTCTTTCCGAATCCGCCAGTGCTGGAGGAATATTTGCTGGCATATAAACATTCAAATCCCTTTAGGTTTGCCAGACTTTTTTGGAATTCTTCTGCCTTTCTAAATAAATAGTCCAGATAAGCTGACTTTTCTCTACGTATTGATATTTTAGTAAAATTTCTGAGTTTTATATATTAATTAAGGTTTTCTGCAGTTTTATTGATTTTAGCCTTACAGCTAGCCTTATCCCTTTCCCTCATCAACGCTTTAATTGCAATCGTGAAAACCATGCTTCGTCACTTATTACAGTTATAAGTGGAACACACCCATATCCACCCCGTTATTTTCAACAATAACAAAGTTTCACTTCCTCTGATCCACAACTCATACGTCTGGTTTGATTTTCGATAACTTGTTTCGGGTTTTCCCAAATATCATGTCACGCCACCGCGAGCGCCACCGTATTATTTTGTAGCAAAACGCCCCAAGTACTCTATGTAAATTAGTTAGATGGTAAATGGCGAGCGGTATATTGATGGTGTTTATATACTTGGAGCTATCTAAAATCTGTGGAAGAGGGTCTATTTGCAAGAGAGAGAAACAAACTAAGGAGGTGTACTAAATTATATTTTATTTCACATAAAACCCAAAATCAATCAGCCAAATATCTTCCAATACTTTACATCCTTCTTTTATTTCTATAAAGTCAATACTTCAAATCCGTTCTATATTGTTATTTTACGGACCACTGAAATATCCCTACTAAATAAGAAACGCCCTATTCATACTATTTCTCAAAATTCTAATTCAACTCATTTTACTACATCCGAATCATTCCTAATAACTATCCTTTACCTAGTCAAATAATTCCTTAAAATCTCTAAGTCCTTTACCTATGAAAACCCAAAATAATTACCTATTTGTTTATCAACTAATTTATTCTCATAAAATCTTACAATGACTTCTATTTGTAAAATAAACTCCCTAATTCAAAATTCCCTTCATGAACAATAAATTCTTTTAACAGCTTTCCCATATTCTAAGACAATTCTATTTCATGGACAAATTCTAATATTAGTTTCCTTTTAACAAGTTTCCAATATTTCAAGAAAACAATTCTATTTTATGACATTAAATTTCTTTTCAAAATTTCCTATTGCAGTTAATAGTTTATCAGAACAATTATATTTTAAGTTTCCTTTTTAACAACATTCCAATATTTCAAGAAAACAATTCTATTTTATGTCATCAAATTTCTTTTCAAAATTTCCTATTGCAGTTAATAGTTTATCAGAACAAATTCTATTTTCGGATTCATATGCCTAGCTAATAAATCCAACTGTTTAATTCATAATTCCAACTCAAAATTGTATATTGTTAAATGCATTATAAGTACTCTTCATATTTTTGTTGCACATTTAAATGTCATTATATCAGAAGGTAATTAAGTTATGCAATAATGTTTCCTTTATAAAACACTCAAGTTATTAAGTTTATTGTAGTAAAGTTCCACCGTGATTGACATTAAAAGTTTTCTAGTAAATTCACACAGTTTGTTTTTATGCATTGAAAGTCAAAGTTTAATCACACAAAGTAATGTTCATCAAAAATAAATCTTGACACTATAGAGTACTTACATTTTGTCCATAAAACACACGTAAAATTACTTAATTAATTACTCAAAATATTTAGGTAGCACGCACATAAAATTATTGAACGAATCTCAAATGTTATTACTTTCACGATTTTCCGTAAATTTTCTAAGTTAATTTATACCCGAGGCCATAAGCCATAAAACTAACTTTTCGCGAAACTGGACAGACTTTAACTCAAATGGACGACTCAACTGTTTTCTGGCAACTAATATCTCTGCTAACTAAAAACGCGGTTTTTATATCTTTTGTTTCCCCTCCGAAATTCTGTGTCCATGACAATTAAGATGATGCAATTTCCTTGAATTTTATTTTATTTTTAGTCTAAAATCAATTAATTATGTCGCAATAATCTGATTTATTGAGGTCAACACGTTTGGGTTCAAGAATGCCATAATTCATTCGACTCAATTTTTGTTAAGTGGAAAGGCCATGGCTAAAAAAGTTCATTGATCGGATTCGTGATGTCATCACCTTGTTTTTATCTGTTTTAAGAATTTCATTTAGATGATGGCTGGATGCAATACAGTTTTATTTTTACTTTATCGATACAGATTTAAAAATACCGGAATTAAATTTTGATTATTTGATAAAATTTAATTTTTACAGTAAAGACTTTGTAATTATCGGGTCAAATTTCTGGATCATCACAATTTCAATCCAATCAAGCATAAATTAGTCCCTTGCTACTACAAAAAAACCTGCCAAGTCTCATTAGGATGGGCGAAAGAGTGTTTATATTATGGATGAAAAACTGATTTTTTTAAAACCTTTATCACGCAGTATTTTTGAAATAAAGTCATTTAAGGCACATATTCATATGAGCTTTTAGTCATGAAATAAGCCAAGAAATTACCTCCTTCAATAGTGACATGATATTTAGGAACAATCTGTATAGTTGCGGAATATCGAGAACGATGGCAAATTTCGACAACTGACTGTCGATTAGCCACTGTCGACAGGGGTAGGATTCCACTTTGAATAGAATTTCTCTACAGCATTATCTTACTGCTAGATTTCCATTTGGGTCTCTCAATTTATATGCTTTTTTGTACGCTCATTATTATAGATAAGATATGAACTTTGTTCTTTTCAATCACCGTTGTCACCATAATTGTATTGTAGCTCCTCTTGTCGAATCTGTTTCCTTATTATCTTATTTATTTCTCTATATTCAAGTGTTTCCTCAATCATATTTTCACGTTCACTCATTACGACTCACATCGGCCATCGGCTTTTGCAGTTTATTGGTTGTATATATTTTTGATTTTTGATAATCTCCAATGTTGAGTTTTTGACAGCCAGCTGTGTAAAAAAAATGCTGGGATCACAAACAAAATATTACAATGCTGATGCCAGAAATCGTCAATAAGAAATGATTTTTACCGCTCCGGTGTCGGGTGTCGGACTTGTGAACACCTATCATGACCTGAATGGATCAAAGAATCAATACACCTAATGAGGATATATTAGGCTGACCCAATATTTCTGAATCCCTCAATTCATTAACTATTTCATATAGGGTAACATTTCTTATTTTAGGTTGGTATATATTGGATTTTAATGATTGGGACCAAATTACCCAGAGATCTGTACTACGCAATCGCCATAAAATTATAGAACGAAGATAGGTATTTTTTCATAACGGGTATTTTTTTTTCAATATTATTCTTAACAGTTTTTTTTCAAGTGAAGTGGGTAATTTTCACCCAGCAAGTTATTTTCTCGAATAGTGAAAAATATTACAACTATACTTAATTATTTTTGGCTCCTGGCATGGAGGTCATATAGGTATCCATAATACCTAAAGCAATAAGAAAAAGTTATTCTCTTGTAAGTTCTTAGGTAATGGGAATTCGTATAGCAATTCGATTTAGAGGCACAATATTTTTCTATAAAATTACTATAGATGCTTAATATAATTCGTTAAATCATCTCTAAGTTTTGAAGTATGCGAACGTTATAGGAAAGTAGAGGAAAATTCAGTTTTTGAATTTTGGAAAATTTCACACCTAACACACCTAAAACCCAGCCTAAAACGATTAGGATAATATTACAGTATAACTGGTTTAGCGTTTAGAGACAAATTATTCTCGAAATTGGACCAAATTCATACCCATTTTCGAGTGCAATAAAAATGTAGGAACATATCAGTAATAATAACATCTGTTTCTATAATTTGTGATAGAAAGTTAGTAAAATTAAACTACGACAAGGTGGCATTAAACATGATGGTGACCGTCCAACCTATCCCATTTGGTGAAGGGGCAATGTCGGATTGCGCCCTATTGCGAGGCTCCCCGACCAACTCCTGAGCTGCGACATTCATAATTAATTAATTTGATTAGGAGACTGCCTTTCTCCAACAAAAACTTGTACTTCTCTCATTATTCGAAACTTGGATTTATGTGGATATTGGTATAGCCGAGAGTGGAAATATTTCCTCATTTTATTTGTGCCTATTTGTGAATATATTACATGATTTTCATATACCTAAACGGTTATTTTCAGTTCGCCCACCAAAGATGTAAGTTTATTAGATTTAGAAGATATTAAAAAATTAAGGTACATTGAGAATAGAGGGCGTCAAGAGAATGAAGCAGAGTATGCAAATGGTGGATATATGCCTATTCACATAGGTGACGTGTTAAGAAACAAATATAAAGTTTGTAGAAAGCTAGGATTTGGACATTTTTCTACTGTGTGGCTATGCAAAAATATGTGTAAAAAGTGAGTGAAATATTTATAAATTGTCTATCCATTTCTACTAAAAATCCTGAGATTTATAATAATCCCAATATGAGAAGGTACTAGAATAAAGGGAGTGAAATAGATGAAGGGTGTTTTTCCAGTTTACAGGCTCTTTTGTTGTCTATGTACCTATATTGCCTCCTTTTTAGGAGCATGATTGGAAATGCTACATGGAAACATTTTAAATACAAAAGCTGTAGATTCATTTGCTTGAAATCTTCTAAAAAATACAAAAGAACGATTAGGCACAGTAAAACTCACATTTCAAACAGGTTGATTTTTATATTGCATCTGTAGTTGCAGTTTTTGCAGTTTCCTCACAAGCTGAAACTTTTCTCACTTTATGGACTTGGTTTCAAAACTATGGAAAGACAAAGATAGATAAATCCATGCACAGACTAAAACTACAAGAAGCGTGCCAGGAAAAGTCCCAGTAACAAATAATACAATAATACAATATAATAAAACTTACTACAAAACCGTTGAATACAAGATAAGCATGAGAAGCAGAAGCAGAAAAAGAAAGAAGTAGGATAATATCTATAGGAAATACTAAATTAAAGCATTGAAAACGTGTAGAATTTGAAAAAATGCTAGTCCTTCAAATAGCCCTGTATGGAATTTAAAGGTTTTGATTAGGTATACCAATGACTGCTACCAAAGAATATTATAGCTAGCTAATGCGTTAATAATCTATAATATTCTTTGCTGGTAAATAACACAATGTAGTAGGAAATACGTTGTTTGATTGGGGTAAAATGCTAATTTTGTAGCCAATAATGCTTTCTGGAATTACACTCTGCCGCTAATTCTCTTTCCATGCGCCCTACTTTCACATAATTTGGAAGCGTTTCTTGATTAGTCGCTAATGATTATTGACGACCTCAGGATTTTTGTAGAAGTGCGCGTCTCAATAATTTTCTTGAATCGCCAGTTTCTTGAAAAGTGATGCACTTCATTTTTGCTTTCTGTAATTTCCAAACGATAGGAGCACTTTTAGGCCGGCCTCACACAGCCGGAATGTCCTGGCCGGCATATTTTGAGCGGTGTTGGTTAGAAGCAGTGGCGCAGCCAGAAATTTTGTCTGGGGGGGGGGGGGGGCATGCAGAAAAAAATATAGGAAAACACACAGATTCGCTTTCCTTTAAACTTTTTCTGATGTGAGCAGTTCACAGCTTTCGTCTACTTTGTTATTTTTCTATTTTTCTCTGAAGCCTTGGGGGGGGGGCTGGGACCCCTGGCCACCCCCCTGGCTGCGCCACTGGTTAGAAGGGAACAATCAGAATCTGAACTCCTACTGTATGAGCTTGTATATTTGAAACACATGGAAAAACATTTGTTTTGAATTATAATCTTAATTTTTCAGATCCGGAATTCAAAACGCTCGTCAGAGTCACTTTGGCAGATCGATGTAAAAAATTCATGATCTGAAAAAAATAGAATGTGTGTGCTGTATAATACAAATATATACAATTCCGTACGTTATGAATTCAGATTCTGAATTTCGTTTCTGAATTCAGAAAGACATTCCGGCTGTGTGAGGCCAGCCTTAAAATTTGAATCTGTTTCTGCCATTTACGATTCTAGGATTTGTGTTTAAATTTTTTGTGATCTTGTGGAAAACATCCCAGGCTCAAGTTTTTTAATTAGTTTAAGGCGCGCTCATTCGTTCAGGAGTTGATAAAACGTCAATGCTGGCGAAAATTACAAATTATAGGTGCGTCACTTTTTCTAGAACTGGGTAAGGTGATATTATATCAATGACTACGTTTATAACGTGACGTTTCAATGCGATCGACTCGATCCAATGGAACTAGATTCACTTGAAAATCCCGTTATAAGCATACGTGATCCATTTTCGATCGGATTCGCCAGCGTTTATAACGCGATTTTCAAGTGGATGCAGTTCCATCGGATCGACTCGATCGCATTGAAACGTCACGTTATAAACGCAGTCAATGTAATAATGTAAATTTTTCACCAAGAAATGATAAATACATATTTTTTAGTGGTCCTAGATATGTCGCTCTAAAAATCTGCAAATCTGCACCTATGTTCACAGCAGTAGCCAATGACGAAATAAGATTACTTCAAGAGACTCGAACCATAAATCCTGACCATGTTGGTTACAAGAACATAGTTCAAATGGTAGATACTTTTAAGCTACTTAGCGAAAATGGACTTCATACTGCCATTTCCTTCGAAATAATGGGACCAAACTTACTACATCTTCTTATACAAAGTGAATTTCGGGGAATACAGGTACCTGCGGTCCGCAGAATAATTTTTCAGGTAAGACAGCAACCACTTTTTGCTTGATTAGATTTTTATTGCATTTAAATTGTCACAGGGCTCGTGCTATTTTGTCTGAGTTATAAAAGCTTTCCTTCCTAATGATTCTGAAAGACATTTTGTGATATTTATTGCCTAGCAATCGACAGACAAAAATGTTCGATAAAATATTGTGATGGATTCCGCGGGTCCACTAATGACTCTACTAACAAAAATAACTTTTAGTGAGCTACTTGACTACAAAATTCACTGATCACTTATTGGTTTTGCTTAACTCTACACAATAATTCTTTTATTTAGGTACGTTAGTTTACTCATTTATAAACTAGGTACCTACGCGCTTTATAAACATATGCTACGGCTAATATGCAAACTTGGATAGTTTACAAACTAACCAACCCATTAGCTATTTTGAAAGAAAACGCAATTTCCACTAAAATAGCGGCAGGCGCTTCAAAGAAATATGCCGCCCTATGGCGCCAGGGACGCCACTAAAAAATCTAACCAATAAAATATTCCTGCCTGGAGTCAACGTTGACTGTCTATCGATAGTCAAATCAAATGAGACAGTAAAAAAAATGCAATTCCTTTGGTGTTCGGCGTTTTAGCCCTAGAGATTTCCAGACTTTTCCAGACATTATCTAGACTTATTCAGAGCTTCCCAGAGTTTTCCAGATTTCATCCAGATTTATCCAGATTTGTACAGACTGATCCGGATTCTGGAAAATGATCCCCAGGTCTTTTGGGATCTTTTCCAGAATTTTTCCGACCCTTCCAAGAAATTTCCAGGTCTTTTCCAGAAGTTTCCAGAGATTTCCAGACATTATCCAGACATATCCAGAGCTTTCCAGAGTTTTCCAGACTTCATCCAGATTAATCCAGACTTTATCCAGACTTGTTCAGGCTGATACGAATTCTGGAAAATGATCCCCAGGTCTTTTGGGACCTTTTTCAGAATTTTTCCAACCCTTTCCAGAAATTTCCAAGTCTTTTCCAGACGTTTCAAGAGATTTCCAGACTTTTCCAGACAATATCCAGACTTATCCAGAGTTTTCCAGACTTTAACCAGATTTACCCAGACCTTATCCAGACTTGTACAGACTGATCCGGATTCTGGAAAATGATCCCCAGGTCTTTTGGGACCTTTTCCAGAATTTTTCCGACCCTTTCAAGAAAATTCCAGGCATTTTCCAGACGTTTCCAGACTTATCCAAAGCTTTCCAGAGTTTTTCAGGCTTCATCCAGATTAATCCAGACTTTATCCAGACTTGTTCAGACTGATCCGGATTCTGGAAAATGATCACAAGGTCTTTTGAGACCTTTTTCAGAATTTTTCCAACCCTTTCCAGAAATTTCCAAGTCTTTTCCAGACGTTTCCAGAGATTTCCAGACTTTTCCAGACAATATCCAGACTTATCCAGAGTTTTACAGACTTTATACAGATTTATCCAGACCTTATCCAGACTTGTCCACACTGATCCGGATTCTGGAAAATGATCCCCAGGTCTTTTGGGACTTTTTCCAGAATTTTTCCGACCCTTTCAAGAAATTTCCAGGCCTTTTCCACACGTTTCCAGAGATTTTCAGACATTATCCAGAGCTTTCCAGAGTTTCTCAGACTTCATCCAGATTAATCCAGAGTTTATCCAGACTTGTTCAGACTGATCCGGATTCTGGAAAATGATCCCAAGATCTTTTGGGACCTTTTTCAGAATTTTCCCAATCTTTTCCAGAAATTTCCAAGTCTTTTCCAGACGTTTCCAGAGATTTCCAGACTTTTCCAGACAATATCCAGACTTATCCAGACTTATCCAGAGTTTTCCAGAGTTTTACAGACTTTATCCAGATTTATCCAGACTTGTCCACACTGATCCGGATTCTGGAAAATGATCCCCAGGTCTTTTGGGACCTTTGGCAGAATTTTTCCTACCCTTTCCAGAAAATTCCAGGCTCTTTTCAGACTTTTCCGGAGATTTCCAGACTTTTCCAGACTTCATCTAGATTTATCCAGACATTTTCCAGACTTGTTCCAGCTCACTTGGCTTGTTCCAGGTTCTTGTTGTGTGTTGTGTGTTAATTAAATTGGCGCAAAAACTAATCCGGGCCGTTCGATCAGGTGGCCCCGTTTATACGTATAAAAACAGCTGGTTACTGGGAGCGCGGCGTGACCTTCTCCAACGTAATTGCCGTGTTGCTGCGGGGCCGTTGTGAGATGGGCTCGGACGGATAGCCTAGCGAGTTTAGTTTAGTCAGTCGCTGTATAGGAAATTTAGGAATAATAACGACAGAAATTTTTCCGTCGGGATCAAATTATAAAATGATAAGTAATTTGATCTGACGATTGTAACAACTATTGAACTAAAAAAAAAAAAAAATATATTTTAAAAGGACTGATATCTAGTAACACAAAATAGCCAAAGCTTTGGTTAGTTTATAAACTAACTATTATTTGATAAATTAGAGATGAATAAAATGCAAATTTTTGTTTTAATTTTTTAATTTAAAAAAAAAAAAAATATTTTCAAATAAGTACAGCTCTCAGATATTTTAATAGTAACGGTGGGTTTATAAGGGCCGTTTCCACCAACTATTTTAGGAAAGCCTTAACGATAAGTATTCCCTAAACTGACATTTTTCCATGGAGAACTGTCAGTTTAGGGAAGGCTTCCCTGAAATAGCTGGTGGAAACGGCCATAAGAAACATAACATAACGCATGAGATAAATTAAAAAGTTGACTCCATGGAAATCCCTTAGTAGTAAACATGCTTTATTGTCAAAGTTAGTTCGTTTATACTTACAGAAAATAACAACATAAGACATAAGAAAGTTGGTTAACTCTTAACTATATTATGTTATGTTATGACGTGTCTGTCTAAACCCACCATTGTATGAAAAGTGAATAATGTCCATTCAAGCTAATATTGTGCCAGATTTTTTACTTAGAAGTAAATCGTATTGCCTAATGAAATAATAAACAGATTTTTGTGCACTTGATGGTCTATTGGCACGTAAAGTTGGCACAACACTTTTATAGCTACTTTCATTGTGAAGTTGGGAATTATTTGTTTTCTTGTTATAAAGATAAAAAACAATAAAATTCAAAATTTCGTATTCAAAACCTAACCTAATCTTATTGGTTTGGCTATTATATGTTACTAGAAATTATGGTTTTCATATTCAGGCTGCATTGGATAGTACATGTATAAACTAACCAGCTAATTGAGTTTTCTCAATAATTTCAATCAAATAAGCCAAGGCTCTTGGTTAGTTTGTGAACTATCCAGCTAGTTTACAAACTATCCAAGTTTGCATATTAACCGTAACATATACAAAACATTTTACTTCAGAAATCTTCAAAATCACGTAAGCTTGTTTATCTAAATGACAAAATGGGATTCTTGAATACTCGGCTCGGGTCGTCAACGTAAACAATCGTGCCTACCTCTCGGAACCGATGCAATTTCAAGACACTGCCTTCCTCTCAAACCAGATCGACTCGATCTATCTATTATTCTCCACCTCCCTACTACCGTTGATTCTACTACCGACAATATTATGTCTTTCAGAGCCCTTGGTACCCTGTCTTTCAGAGCCCTTGGAACCCTGTCTTTGGAAATAATGTCCTCTAGAACAATGTTTTTCTTCATGTTCTTAATTATCTTAAGAAGCCTTTCTGTCCATCAAGGTCTACCTTCACGCCTGTGTGGTTCTTGTTCCCATATACTAAGAGAATGGACACGCTGTTGATTGCCATGGTGCCAGTCGCCTTATGTTTGGTCCTGCGCTCGTGGTGCTTGCATTGAACTGAGAATGTTCGGATGGATACTGTATCTGCGTTGTTATGCAATTCGCCAGTTCAATGTTCGTTTAGAAAATCGTACTGTTGCAACTTCTAATCCAATCGAAGGCTGAGAGCCACCAGAAGGGGAGCGAGATCTCAGTTATATTCTACAGTCACGCTTAAAATATCCTCTTTTTCCGCAGCGGTAACACTTGGTGGTGCCCCCTTTCAAGTTCCCTTGTTTGATTCTGGTAACAACTTTTCGTATTTCTGCCAGAAGTTCTTTATTTATTGTATCTCTAATTTCATCCAGGGGTTCTTTTTCGTCTCATATTTACACACTTCTGATCGCTGGTCCGGATATCTTATGGACCACTTCGATTTCGAGGGGTTTGATTAGAGCTTAGCTGCTACTTGATGGTTTTGTTATTAGCAGAATTCTCTGGTACATCCATTCACAAGACGGCGGATATTAGTTTCAAATTCTTGTAAACCTTCCACAGCTTGCTTGCTCTGAGCTGTACCTACCGGTGAAGCTTCCGTCGGAGATGATCCTCATAATGACGGTCTGGCGCATCAACAAGCGCACCATAGTTTTCTTGGAAAGCTGGCAGAAGAGTTTCCCAATCTCAAGTCACTGAGTCACAGTTTTCTTCTCTATCAATAATTTCTTGACGAAAGATTCTAACTTCCGATAAATAATTTGAACTCCCTGATGAACAGTTCCAACTCCCTGATGAACAGTTTCAACTTCCTGACGAATACTACCAACGTATTCACGGTCTTCCATTGCATTCTTAAATCTATTATCTTGCTCTTCCAAGATTTTCGCGAGTCTGTTTTTTTCCTTAGAGATTATGGTTTTGTTCTTCTTGTCTCGGGCTTCCTCTTCTTGTTTTTCTTGTGATCTCCTAGCTTCATGTTGTTGTAAAAGTGCTGCAAGCCGGTTCTGTGCTTCTTTCTGGTCTTCGGGCTTCTTCTTCTTCTTCTTGCCCTTCTTTCTGTCTCCTGGCTTCCTCTTCTTGTCTTCGATCTTCCTCTTCTTGTTTTTCTCTCTGCCTTTGAGCTTCCTGTTCTTGCCTCTCATTTCCGATATTTTTCATGCACTCTACCAACATTTGATTTGTCGGGGACGACGGGGTCTATATATTGTTTCACAAGATTTGTTATGTCGCTTTCAAAATCGCTTAGCCAATATTTGTCACTTTTTTTCTCGAATAGGATTGTCATTCCGGGTTTTGCAGGGGAGTGGAACCGAAATAATAATGATATAGACGTTTACCGCTAGACCGTTATTTTCCCGCAACGTCTGCTTGGGTAACATGATAATCTAACTTTTTGTTGTGTTTGTCATCAGGACTAGTTCTTTTATTGAAATCTTCGATATAATCTTTAATGGAATATTACTATTTCGATGCGTCGAAAGGTATCTGCGTTGATGTTCAATTCGCCGTATTTATAGATAATATTATAATTAAACTTTTCGAGTTAAGTTAAATGGAATTGGGGTTAGTGTGAATAACTACTAGAGTTAAGTATTTAGTTGCCAAGACAATAGCCATGGACAAATAAAGCATTTTCTAATAGGTATCCGCATAGGTATCGTATTGCGCATGTGCAGAAGCGATACGTATGCCGCGATACCGTAGGTGCAATGTAACAGTACGGCCCTCTCGCGGTATCCCTCGTCAATGCATCCCGCCCGAATCACATGCTTGTGCCAAAAATAAAAAGCAGATGACCTAACTTCTGACATTTCGGTTTATGATTCCGGAACAATATAAGCTTTAACAGCCTTGATTGAAAGAGTTTGCCTCTTATAATTATTCTCGTCAATGGTAAAACGTGATTGAATGTGCGTGAAGCGCAATTGGCAATTCTAGCCTTATAGGTTCCTGGGACTGTAATGCGCCCAGAGCAACTTCACCTGCATCCGTCGTGAAATTAAAAGGATTATCGAAATCGGGGTAATGGAGTATTGGCTCATTTGTGAGGCAGTTCTTACAGGTTTCGAACCAGGTGGAAAATTCCCAATCCATACCAAATTTTTGCATCTCCTTTTGAATATCTTGTGACTGGCTTGGTTAAATTATATCAAGGAAGACTTTCATTGGCTTAGTGGTATTAACGGAAATTCTTCAATGGCACGAATCTTATAGGGGATCGGTTTCAGTCACTCCGGTGTGAATAGAGAGAAAATAAAGCAAATTTTTGATGTGTCTATCCCTTAGAAAGTTTGCATCCAACTGCGGCAAACGTAACAGATTATGTATTTCAAATTGTCAGGTATCATGTAAAAAATGCAATTTTTATGCAAACTGCTGCTCATCCGCCAGATCCTATACCTACCTACCTTACTTACGTGTCAGCAACAAGTCGGTAACAAAATAATAACTGCGATCTTAATTTAATTAGTTTGGCTTGTAAATATGAATCATGGAATGTATAAGCCTAATATGGATTTATGACCATCTGCATGTCCGGGAACGGGTGTTTAAATACAGCAATATTGATTTATAGATGTAGTTGAATTTGAAATTTGCTCTCCAGCGCTGAGCTATTCGACTACTGCCATTTTATGTAGCGCTTAATTTTTGCCTACTTATGCTTATTGAGTAGGTAGGTATACATTCATTAAATTTATAACATACATTTTCTGATTTCTAGGTTTTAAGGGGATTGACGTATCTTCATGAAGAATGCCATATAATCCATACCGATATAAAACCAGAAAATATTTTAATTAAAATTAATGAGCCATATATTAGACAATTGCTTGGAAAAATGGAACGATTTTCAGAATTGGGAGTTGATTTACCACGGTCGTATGGTAACAATATTTATATTTGAAATATATGTATTGATTTTTAGTATAAAATTAAATATATATAAATATAAAAAAAATTATTGGTTGCAGTAAGTTCCGAATTCTGGACAGAGAGGGATAGTACTTTTGATACATCGGATGACAACTTAATCAGCTGTATTGAGCGTAGGCCGTTTTCTTATCCCAACGAAACGTACTTAAGCGAGTTAGAAAACTATGAAAAACGTCATAGCCAACCTAATATTAATGTTCCGATGTGGGTAAGCCCAAATATTGAAATCAAAATAGCCGACCTAGGAAATGCCTGCTGGATGGTAAGTATTTCTCAGCATAATTTTTCTGACCTGCTATTAAACTTATATTCATGAATTTCAGGATCAGCATTTTTCTGATGAAATTCAAACGAGACAATATCGCGCTCTAGAAGTTATAATGGGAGCGGGATATAATTTTCCAGCTGATATCTGGTCAGTTGGTTGTATGGCGTTCGAACTTGCTACAGGGGAAATGCTTTTTAGTCCGAAAGGGTCCAGCGAATTATCAGTCAATATAGACCACCTAGGTTTGATTTGGGAAACTTTGGGTGGAATTCCTAGATACATTACTGAAACTGGTACTGCATCCAAACAGTTTTTTTCTGATGGTAATATTTTTATTTAAAAAAATTAAAACTTCTTTGTTCAAAGTTTAGTCATATTTTAGGACATTTAAAAGATGTACCTGCTGAAAACTTAAAAATATGGAAAATTGAGGATGTTTTAGTAGAAAAATATAAATGGAAACGAGTGGATGCCATTCCATTTGCCAGTTTTTTAGAAAGCTTGGTGGAGCCTGATCCTGCTCTTCGAGGTACTGCAACACAAGCACTATCAAACGAATGGTTGCAGTCTGCAGACATTTGAAGATATTTCCACAATATTTATGTGCAAGACTGATGTTACTTATTTATAATGTTCGTTCATTTTAATTTTGTTAAAAACGTATGGAGATTTTTTTTTAAAGTTTATTTGTCTCTACTATCTCTTAGACTTTTAAAATAAACGTTTTGAAAATAAAACCAAGTTTTCTTTTTTACGGAATCTTTTAGTTTTCTGGCCCAATTGTGTTTTGTCTAAAGTTGTCCTAGACTGAGAGCTTTTAATTTGTGTTTATTCGCCAGACATCATGTTTTTTTTACAACCTATTATTATTTAGGTAAAAAGAAGAATATCAACACTTTTTAATATTTATTCAAACAAAATATTTTAAAAAGCATTAGACTGCACTGAGGGAATTTCTATCAACGGCGTTTTAATCGCTGATTCTCTTACTTGATCATTTTTGGCTACTGAAAGTGGAGAATTTGGATTAAAATTGAACGTCAAAAAAACTTAATGGATGGTGATTAGGGATCCCAAATCTCACGATTTATCGTGAGATCTCACGATTCAGCACCAAGTCTCACGATCTCACGATAATGGATTCTAATCTCACGATATTTTTATAAACGCGGCTTGCCGCTTGCAGTATTTGAAATATCTTTCATAAAAACTTAACATTTATTTTCTAAGCAATTTTCCACTCAAGCAAACAATTATTCGGATATTCCCGCAGCGTGGAGTCCGAGTCCGATACTGGAATGGAATGTACCATGGCGCCCCTAGCGGCTTTCGGAATAACTAGATCTCTACGCTCCTTTTGCGCCGCGGAGCGGAGTAGTTTTCTGTAATCTGCCGCTTGCTCCTCATGCATAATTATAGGTTACAAAACAGGCGCCTGATTCTCGAATTTCGAAACAAAGGAGCAGCGGTCTCACGAAAGCAATATTTGTGTCTTTGTCATTCCTATGAAATTTTGCATGAAGTTGAGGACAGGGCATTTTGCTCTCTATGAACTCTGTTGGCCCGTTTCGAGAATCAGGCGCCTGGAATCCATGGCGCAGAAACAACTGCGTGATTTTACAATCTCAGCGGTGGTTCCCCGGTTTGCTGATTGCATTTCAACTTGCGAAAAACTATTGCGGATGGTAAATCGCAACATATTTTGTGCGTCGCCTATTTTGCTGAGAAAATGTCTTCTAGTGATAATAGTTCCGATGACTCAAATCGTGCTTCTGGTTCGACTTCACAAAATTCAAATTGAATATTTTGTGCTTCAGATAGTCCTGGAGAAACCAAAAAACCTAAAACCCTAGTTAAAACAATAATTTCGCTAAAATGCGCATGCGTTTTACGATCTCACGATTTCTCACGATTTTTTCACGACCGATATCACGATAATAGGCTCAGAGCATCTGAGATCCCTGAGTAAGAACCAGGCCGGAGGATGTATTCTCCAGGTACAGATCCAACGGATTGATCGGGTCGAATCATACAGATATCTAGGATGTCAGGTTAATGACGACTGAGATAACATGCAGGAGGTTCGTGCCAGGATTGAACAAGCCGCCAGAGCATCATTTGTAAACATGAAGTCCGTGTTGTGTAGTTGAGGTCTCTCGCTCTCCGTTCGCACTCGAGTAGTCCGTTGCTACGTCTTCAGTATTTTCTATTATGAGATTGGGACGTGAACTCTGACAGACGCCATGTGTAAAAGGCTAGAGGCTTTTGAAATGTGGACATATACATAATACATAGACGGATGTGCGCAATGAATATGTGCTAACGAAAATGTCGAAGGATCTTGAAGTTACGCTTAAAAAGCGAAAGTTAGAGTACTTCGTGCACATACTCAGGAATGACAAATACTTACTTCTCAAACTCGTAATCGAAAGAAAAATTGAAGGCAGAAGAGGCCCTGGACGTCGAAAAATATTTTGGCTAACTAATTCGCTTCACTGGTATGGCGAAACCACGACGAGTCTATTCAGAAAAGCAGTCGACAAAGTACAGATCGCGCTGATGCTTGCCAACCCAACAAACCAAACGCAGTCGCAGTGGCGTGTTTACTATGGAAGCTGGGGAAGCACAGCTTCCCCTCGAGGATTTATTACGAACACTAAACTAAACTCTATGTAGACATTTTCAAAAAGAAATATATGAAACTTGTGACTGGCTGACTGGTTCTGAAATTATAAGTCTTTCCTGTCCTGTACTTTCACCATCTTTCCCCACAGCTTCCCCGTCTATTAAAAGTCTGGACACGCCACTGCGCAGTCGGCAAATGAGCGGCCGCCAGCCGGCACGTTCGGTATTCTGGTGGCTGATGTAGCCATCATCTGGACCTCCATCGGTCCAGTTCGGGTATACCGCAGCGTTGCCAAACGTACGACAGGTGCGGTATTTGTACCACAGTTTAGGGAATGTTCGTTACAAGAAAATCAATGCGTACGGTAGTACGGTAATGTACCACAGTTTTGAAATATTGGGTTGATTGGGTAATATATTATGGTAATATGTACCACACTTTTAAATTCTCCTTTTTTTCTTATGTGTGTTGGCCAAATTGGGTTAAAAATTTATAAAAGATTTTGAAAACTTGTTGCTTGAAAACAGTCTATGGGCAATTTTTCGCGAGGATAATCAAGCATAATTAATCGATTATGCTGGATTATGTGATGTATCATACTCCTCTAACTCCCCCACCATCAAATTCTGGAATACTCGAGGATCAAGAACACTTAATTACTTGTGTGAAAACAGATCGAAAATATTTTTTTCTACATTTAAAATCGACGAAAAAATTAACTCACTAGCACAGCCCGAATGGCGAGCATGCCATCAAGGTCTGCGGGTGACGTCATCACTATAAGCTGCTGATAGTGACGTCACTCGCAAACCCAAAATTTGATGGAGAGGGAGTTATGCCCAATTTATGCCTCATTCTCACTTGCGCGAAATTCGTGTGAGAATTAAGCCTTAAGCTTTAGGGAAGTATGACACAATTGACACATCACATAACTCAGCATAATCAGATTATGCTTGATTATCCTTGCGAAAAATTGCCTTATAACAAGCTTCAGAAAGTTGTTATAAAATTTTTGAGCATTTATCAATGTTCGGCTTGTTCGAGGATTACTCGGATAGACATTTTTTTGACAGTAATTTTCACTTTAACGCAATTATAGAGAGTAATTGGAAGTGAAATAAGGTCCAGCAGTAATAACGCAAACGCTATATTGACATCTGCGCTTGCGCAGTTGCGCCGTTGAATAAGGCTAGTTTTATTAACGTTTGTGCTAGACTTTATTACTGCACGAATAAAGTCACGCACTGATAATTAGGCAATTCAAACCACGTGACATTCAAGATGGCGTGGCGGCCACACATGGGCCAAAAAACACACAAAAATATCTAGTTTCTGCCGGAATTAATAGTTCAGATACCTAGTCAACAAATATTTTATTAAATAATGAAAATCAAAGTTGTAAGCAAAACTGTATGCAAAATAATTTAAAATACGCATAAAAACATATCCAAAACAAACTTGCTTGGCCGCCACGTCACATTGAATTTTCCGTTTTGACAGATGGATTGAATTGCCTAATATCATATCATGATGTGTAAGTATTTTGCATTCCTTATGGATATTATTGTGAATTGATAACTTATTTTGTGTTGCATTTGGTTCAAGTTGTAGATATTGTCACATTCTAGAACATTTCCAGCTAAGTTCACTAAAAGATTGAAATTCATTTCATCTCAAGTATGTAAGTTATTTTTGTCGTGTGACTAATAAACCAGAGTTTGCTGAAAATTGTTTTCTTTTTTATATCTACTTCTACATATTAAAGCAGCTTTTTTATACCTATTTAAAACTGTTTTTTTTTAAATAAAAACCTAATTTTTATAGTGTGAATACCAGGGTTATTGGTAATTCATGGAGATGTGATAAGGGAGGAGGTAAAAAGTGAATTTAACTGTAACATGATTTATGCAAATCTCAATTTTTTTAAAGATATTTCAATGCTTTTGTTTGTTTTAAAAACTAACCTGATTGCCTTGAATATTAATTTGCAAAAAATCTTACCGTACATTTTTTCAACTTCAAACATAAGACCATACCATGTTGGACAAATAACCCAGTAGAGAAATTGAGAAAATTTACGGTAGATTTTTTCCGAATTAATTTTTAAGGCAATTAGGTCTATGTTTTCATGAAAACATAGAAACATTGACATTTCGGGGCGCCTGCGCCTTTTTCTGGCAGATAATAATGGCGGTTTATAAGAGGATAGCCCCTTGCGAGCCGCGGATGGCCTGCCGAGCCTCTACCGGCTCGGCTATCTACCATCGGCCCGTCGTCGGTTATTCCAAGCTTTGCCGAGGCTAAAGGTTGGCTAGCCGACTTTTAGCCATCTTACGGCCTGGCGGACATGCCCTACCTACACGCCGAGCCGGCCGACGTAGGCGGGCCGCACACGGCAGTTCGGCAAATCGCTTTCGTCCCGTTGTCGGACCAGCCAGATCGTGTTTGTTGGGAACGTTCGTGGAGGACAATAGGAAGAAGATAATTCTCCATCTGGTGCAATAAATTTAAGATAAGTTACCAATATTCCACTGGAATGTCGGTGTGTGTGTGTTTTTTTTTTTCGGAAACCATATCATTATGCAAAAAACTCAGTTGTAGTTGCTAAAATTATAGACCCTGTCGCATACCACATGCGTTCACAAATCGATAGACGGTGCCAATTTGATTTCTGAAACCAGTGGTTCATCCTGGAAATGCGATGAATGCGTTTCAAGATATAGTTATGTTATCAGTAGGCCATAGCCATTCGAAATTCATGGCAAATGGACAGGTGCAAACAAGTAACAACACTTGCTTCCCTCAATGCGGCATTTTAATCTTTATAGCTTAACCTTATCTCCGGAGTCACTGATGAAATACTCAATGTTAATAAGCCTACTGAACCTTCAAGCTATGCCGCCATTGCGAAAAATAATACCCAACCAGCGATACCTGTGGCTCCTAAAAACGGTTCCCAGAGTTTTGAAAAAACAAAAAAAGGATATGGCAAATCGAATAAATCCATCGGAATTGAAGCGTTTAACAAGAGTGAAGCCACTCAAGCTTTGGATTCTCTGGAGAAACCATTCACAGGGTTATCTTCCACTATCGCTAAAATCTGTTTATTACCGGCAGGTGTCATTTATCTTGCAGATCTCCGATTAACATTTCGCACACTCACACTTCCTGTATCGCGGAATCTTTGCAAAACGAGCACAAATATTCTTTCATTAAGTGCCCTCCTGTTAGGAAATCTTTCCCTATACATTCTGGCAGCTAAATGAGCGTTCTGTAACGATTATCCGTAAATAAGTAACATATCTGCATTCGGCATATTCGACGTTTGTAAACATTTAATTCCCAAAAAATAATGAATTACGCGCGTTTTCAATACTTCAAGTGTAATAAATCAATAATCATTTATCGGTTCAACTACCTGAACCACCTATTCTTTTTTGTGCTATGTTGCCTGATGTTTAGAAACCGAATTACGAATAGCATTATCAAGCTCGTCTTTTTTGCTTTGCTTAATTTAAAGGCGGCTACTCACTACGCGATACTTGCCAAGTAATTGTCGAGTACTTGCCAAGTTTCGAGTAATGTGTATGAAGACTTGCCTATGCCCAAGTCCAGACTTGTACTTCCCATCGGCTGTCGGTAATCGTCGCAAGTCAAAGGATGCGAGCAGCATATTGCAATAAGTAGTCGAGTCGCCGCGCTACATAAGAGGTGTTTTCTGGCGTCTCAAAGTTCTGAAACATTTGTCAAAACTAGTTTAAAACAGTGTCACAATGACGTCATAGCTTCTCGGCGCGAGAAAATTGTTTTAAAAAGTGGATTGGATTGTATTTGGAAACGGTTTAAACCAATTTTGATGTGACTCATGGATTCATCGCGAGAATATACTATTTAAAACCTATTTTGAACCATACTTTCAAAAAAGTGAACGCGAGAAAACAGCTAAGGTCTGTTCAAACCCGCCAAAAAAAAAGAACGGTTTCGGAACCAGTCTAGGTCTGTTTTCATAGGAGTCTCAGGTAGTTTGCAAACTGTCAGAAAGCATCGCTCATAGATGTTTTCAATGTCGTCGTTCCAAGATAAATCGGGTCTGTTCTCAAAGGAGCCTCTGAAAGTTTGTAAATTGTTGGTAAGCATCGCCCATACATGTTTTCAATGCCATTGTTAAAAGATAAATCGTCAACTGCTGAGCGATTATTTCTGACAGGTTGCAAACTTGATCGAAACAACATCCTCAAACCTTGCTTAAACTATAAACCTTGCGTTCGGAATTTTGCTCAAAGAGCAGAGCGTGCTGAAGCGCAGCCGTAATCACATGACCAGCGAGGGCACAGAGCAGTTAAACGCTGTATCAGAGTAGGCAAAATTTTAATTTAATGGGCCCGCATTGAGCACACTTTTTGAATAAACAAACGGTAAATTTCAAGCTAGGAGAACTCAGATCGAAATACGGAACGTACGGCAAGGCAGAAATGTCAACACTGCTTGATCCACTTCTGGTCGGACAGCAACTTTGGTGGCCGCCGGACCAAAGTTGCTGTCCGATCAGAATCGGATCCGGGGCCGGATTCTCGTCTCAGGGAGTAGAGCTCCCCGAGAGTACAAATTTTTCATCTTCATCATTCTCGTTTACATTTCTATTACGTTGACAAGGACAAAACATTTGTTCTATCGGCGCGCTCTACTCCCTGAGACGAGAATCCGGCTCCAGTTCACGCTTACAGATTATGGCGTTCGATGACGTCAATGTTATTTCCCGATTACCGTTCTTTCGCGAAAGCACAACGGCAGCTGAACAAGGTTCACGGCAAGACAACAGGAAGTCGCGAAAAAAAGTAATCTCCAGGTAAAAAAATGTACTGGTAGAAATATAACCTGGGTTGTCGAATCGTGAGCACCCCACAACGGGCCAACTTGCAGACAGAGGTAAACTAATAGCGCTTTCGACTTTTGCCTCAAAAGGCATTCACATCTTCGGCTTAAAACTGCTCAAAATATTTGTCAATTTTCTCTTAACATTTCTAACTTTTCAAATCCTAAATCCTAGCCAATTATTTCTCATCTGAGCCAGCTGTACTAATAATAATCAGGCCTATATATGTTAACATACAACGCTATAAGTTGTCTGTTACTATTCATTCTATACGTCAAATTAGAGGGAGGTATGGATGTTGAGCTATAGTTTGATTATGTGATGATTATGATCTGATCTCTGGAATCTGATAGTAACATGGATTTGGATGATGATTCAGAGCTCACATTTTTTGGCAAACAAGAGCGTCCAAAGATTTTTTTTTTTTTTTCAATAATATTGAGGAACAGTATGAGCAACTTCAAATTTATTTTATCTCCAGTCAGGGAGGAAAGGATAAATTCAGCGCGATGCATCAAGTTTCATCAAATTGTTGCCGTGAAATATTACACCAGCGGAGTCAGTCTCCGCACAGCGTGTTATTTTTTCGTTCCAGCAGAAATTTGTTGCTAACTTCAAAACATCGTGACCAACAAAAAAGAATTATGTGTTTGGTTAATGTTACCAACTTTCCAATATTTCGCTGGAGCAAACCTAATCGCTTTCGGAGCACTGCCGCAGAGATCTTTGACGTTACAGCCCTGCAGACAGGGTGTGCTCTGAGAGTCCACCATTATGAGGCAGCTATTCCGACTAGACAAAGATAGACCAGGTCATCGATAGATCCATCGGGGTCAATCGGAGAATAAAAGAAAGCGCGGTGCCCTACCAAAAATATCCGAAATCGCCAAAATGTATTGAGGGCGGGTATTAGGCAATTTTTCGCGAGGATAATCAAGCATAATCAATGCTGGATTGGATTATGTGATGTGTCAATTTTGTCATACTCCCCTAATTCCCCCGCCATCAAATTCTGAGATACTCCAGGATAAAGAACACCTAATTTCTTCTGTGAGAACAGACCGAAAATCACCTTTTCTACATTCAAAAACGACAAAAAAAATAACTCACTAGAACAGCCTGAATCACGAGCATTCCATCGAGATCTGCGTTTGGCGTCATCACTATTAGCTGCTGATAGTGACGTCACTCTCACCAAAATTTGATAGGGAGGGAGTTACGGGAGTGTGTCACAATAGACACATCACATACTCCAGCATAATCAGAATTATGCTTGATTATCCTTGAGAAAAATTGTCTATTATAAACATGTTTTAAAGTTATCTTTGATTGTAACACTCCAAGTTAACTTTAGCTTTCAAAATGTCAGTTTTATAAAAATCCCATTTCTAATATAAAAAAAAAGAAAAATAAAAAAAAAAGGAGAAAAAGAAAAATGAAACATAGAAGTTTTGGCTTGGTTTCAAGCAATGAACTATACTTAAAAACTGGAATGCGCACACATTGCCATATCTGCCAAAAAATGTAGCCATGAAAGACAGATGCCACAAAGGGGAATGCTGTTTTTTTCTGTTGCTCGCTGATATATGACGTTTTGGAAAGTTTTGTCATATTTACCTTCACAGGTTTCATCAATTGGAATACGTCTTGGAAGCAATTTCCGCCATTCAACATAATGAGTGCGACAAAAACAGGTATCCCCTCCGCAGCAGCGGCACTAGGCTTCACGTTCGTCAATATGTGTTCGCATTCCAGTTTTTGGTTATAGTTCATTGGTTTCAAGTTTCGATGGTTCTGTTATTTGTTATTTTTTAAAGTGTCGTTCCGAGTGTCGTTTCATTGGTCGTTTCTTTGCTAAATATTAAATTATTGACAGAATAACTGTCGAAAACCACGACTTCCTACAAACCTTGCGTTCGGTATTTTGCTCAAAGAGCAGAGCGTGCAAAGCGGAGCCGTAATCACGTGACCGGCGAGCGCACAGAGCAGTTAAACGCTGTATCAGCGGTCTCGAAATTTTAATAAACGAACGTGAATGAGCCTGCATCGAGTACACTTTTTAAATAAACGAACGGTAAATTTATGCTCCGAGAACTCAGATCAAAATATCAAATGCACGGACAGTTAACTCTAGCCCATACCCCATCCACCCGATAACGTTAACTCCGAAATTTTCAAGATAACTATGCCATGTGATGTCATTCCAGAAGTTAACATTTAGTTAATTGTAAAAATAGTTTTATAATACCTGTCCTTTGTTTTATTTATTAAAACACGGGCGTGTTTGGGTTAACGCTCGGCGGAGCGAGCAGAGCGATAACGGAGTGACGTGACGTCACAGGGAGTACACCGTGTCAAGCCGTGTCGGTTATAGTTGACAGATAACCAAGTGACATTATAGTTGACAAATAACCAATGAAGCAAATGTCATTTGTCAACCAATCGGTAATATGACGTTAAATGCATCGTTCATCTGTTAATACAACCGACTAGTTTATCGCCTTTTGACTTGGGTTACGTGTAGAGACAGATTAAACACATCTGATCTGCGCATGCACGCTCCAGCTGCCCACTCCACTCCACAAACTCGGAGTTTATCGAGCTCGCCCGGAGCGCTCAAAATAAGTCAAACTAAACACAATCAAGCAGGAGCTTCAAAAATAATAGAGGAGAGACAAAAGTGCAAGCTCTGAGTGCACCGAGCGTGAACCCAAACGCGGCCTTGAGCTACTCACTCCGGTGAGTCGACCCCGATTTGAAAGGAACAGGTGCGCTGGCTTTGCATTTAAATTGTTTGAGTTCGGGCTTGTTGCACTCAGGTGCAACAAGCAAGGTTTTGAGTTCGGGACAAACACTTTTCGAAAGAATAAGCGCGTAACGCCCCGGAGCTGTTCTGGGGCTCCTCTCCTCTAGGTGTGAAAATACAACTGTTGCCATATATGTCAAAAGTCTGTAGTTGACATATGAGTCCACCAACAAGGCAAAACAAAAAAGAAAAAATCCCTATATCTAATCTAAATCATGCAGAAATAAATAGGAAATAAATAATTATTTTGCTGGTCCCCCAGATCCCTTGCTTATCATCTAAAATTCAATATTTTGCCTATAAATAAACTTCGAAGTGGTTATAAAAAAAATAATCATTAATCAGTGGATGGTGGATATAGGTCCTGTAAAACTTATCTAAGGATGTGCTGCAAGCAAAAATAGTTCAAATCTAGGACGGGACGAGGTGTTTTCATTAAAGTATAGATTAGTAGCTCTAGTGGTGATAATGTTTCGAAACATTGTGTTTATTCCATCAAAAAGGATCTGGTGATATCTAAAAGTGGAAACTGATGGTATTGTTCAAAAAACTCTTATATTTGCTTGAGTATTTGCTCCTAATATAAAAAGATGCCCACTTTAATTGGAGTTTCTGAATTTGTTGATGAAACCCGAGATGACTATAATTCGCCAATTACATCAACATTTGTATCACGGATGCAACAATGTAGAAATACTATTACAACACTAGAAGAGGTAAGAATCGATTATTATCATTACCTACTTGACATAATGTAATAACAATAGCAATTTAAGTTATTTATATACATAATGTAATAACAATAGGAATTTGGTGACCTTCCTCAACTTTGAATTTGTCTATTTTGTATAGGTATTTTTATCGGGGAGTTTTTTAATTATCTAATTAATTTAATCTCGAATTTAATAGAACCTATAAAAATGTTTATAAAACCTAGTAAGGAATTTAGGACTAACAAATACCAAGTAAGATCCGCAGCATTGCCAGTCCTATATCTAAAACTCGATCTAAAAAAAATAATGAAAATTAGCTTAATAACCTTTTTGCAACTTCAAACTTCCTAATTGACATTTCTTTGTTAATGTAACTTCAACTTTAATGCCAGGGACTTCCATCAAACTACACTGGCTTACCCTGTGTGACAAGGTAATAGGCCAGTTTACTGAATAACATACTAAAAGTCCTAATAGACTGTGAGATAGGGGTTGTTTAGTGGAGTCATTTTTTTTTGTCTGGCATTTTGAGGGCTGATTGTGGGTCCTAAGCTGATGAGAATATGGGTGATTTTAATGCCGGCCTCCCGTTCGAAAATTTGCAGAAGAAAAAAATTGATTTACATGAAGAATTTTTTTTTAATGGTCTCAAATTTTCTGGCTTTTAAATAAAAGATTGACATTGATAAATAATTCACCAATGAAAAATATCAGATGCTTTTCAACAGCTGAAAAAATGGGGATGGGTGGTCAACTTCCAAGAGAAAAGAAAAGAACCTTCCGCGTTTACTTTTTGTCTGGCAATCGAGAGAATGAAAGGTTTTGTTGTGAAAATAACGCTGAAAAATCGCCAGACGGTAATCACAGTTCGAAATCGAGTTTTCCGGCGAAACATTCTGTGGAAATTTCGAACAGGAGGCAGGCATTAAAACCACTTATATTCTCATCAGCTAACTAGTCACATTCATCCCTCAAAATGCCAGACAAAAAAAATGACTCCACTAAACAGGCCCTATCTCAGGGTCTATAAGCCGTCCTATGCCGGCTTCATGAAGAAAAAAGGCATAGGCGGGTATTTGGGGTTTTACACAGGATATAATTATACATACCTATTGTGTATTGCTGTCAATACCTATATAACTTCCGCTGTAGAGCCGGCTTAGCAGATCTACTGATAACTTTCTCTCTATTTGGGTGTTTAATATATCGCTGCAAAACGTTAGTAATCAAAAACTCTTCTCGATGGAACCAATGTACGGACCAATTACAGAGTATGCAACCACCATTTTGACAAAACTAGCTGTTTAATTGGACGTAGTGGTGCAGATTTCAAAGTAGGAATAAGTTTGCAGAAACAGGAGTTTTCATGCAAACCAAGTCGATTGAACAGTGATTTAATTTTATCATGAGTCAGCTAAAACAGCAAAAAGTTGAACCAAAAAAATGGAGATAGTCAACAGAGAAAAACGTTTTTGTTTTAGGACTACTAGAAGTCTATAGGGCTATAAGATTTGGTTAGTAGTATGCCAATTAAAACTGGCATTAACAATATAATTTTTCAACAATTGAAAAAAACTGTATATACTTGAAATTAAAAGGCTAGACAGGTAGGTACTGCACAATTATTTTTCATGAAATATCTCTGGATCCATCTGTACAGTATAATTCTGGAGAAGATAAGTTAGATGGCTTTGAAGACAATGAAGAAGAAAATAGAACCAATAGGTTAGCGAGTAAAGTTATGATATTTATGGCCAGAGGGCCAGTTCATTTTGGTCATGAATAAATGCTTTGACAGCGCTAATGGTGCCAGAGTTAACAATTACCTGAGAATTTTTTTGGCAGTTTGAGAAATCATAGATTAGGAAATATCAATTTCACATGCCAATCATTTATTAACTCATTCAAAGATTGATAAATATAACTTTCTATCGCCACATTCTCCAGGATCTAATTGCGAGAACGATGAGCGGGTAGCAGTAGATCCATTAGGAAGTTTTTCTGGGAAATCAAGTAATAAATGTGGATCAATATTACAAGTGCCAGAATTATCAATACCGAACACTTTTTTCCAGATACTAGGTCGTCAATAAATAGAGGTACAATGGCGTTTATTGCACATTACATGACTAAAAATTCAAGTTGATACTAACATCTTCCAAGTCTTTTTGAGGTAATGCTCTGAGTGGAGAACTAATGGCTGGGTGTAATGACATTTAGGTCTTTAGGATCCTCTGAGAGGAGGGTAATTCGAGGGGTAATTGGCCTGTAATCCAAACACAATTCCACCTGTACAAGGATCGTTTCAAACTCCTCATATGTCAATTTTTGCACCTATCACTTTTCTAATATGAAATTTAGCTGCCCTTTTAACCGATTCCAATAACATCCCAAAGTGAGGTTAGCGTGGCGGGATAAAATGCCACCTTATATTGCCTTGCTCAGAAAAATATTCTGAGAAATGCATCTGAGTAGAGGTATCTTGTAAAAATATGTAAAGAGATGTTAATTCATTATTACTACCAATGAAATTTGTAGCATTTTCCGAATAAATGTTGGCGCACAAACTTCGACGTCCTATAAATATCCTAAAGCAGTTTAAAAATGCTGAAGCAGTCAGATCACTAACAATCTCCAAGTGCCAGAAAGTACAGTCTGCGTCTGCAGTAAACACGCCTCAATTTCAAGTTTAGCGACGTTGCCACGTTTTTCGATCATTCCTTGATAGACAGTTTTAGCTAAAATAATATAAACTCAGTTGGTAAGCACCATAAAATCTATGGGGCCTTAATAGCAAAGTTATATGCGTTATTGTGAGGACAACAACTTTTTTATTTTTATTTTGTCAAAAATTACATGAAGCCGGCATATTTGGCTTTAGGACTTTTAGTATGTTGTTCAGGACACTAATTTAACTAGTCCTGCCGATTTTCAGATTTACATAATTTTTTTCTCGATTTTTCTAGGTTTTGGTGAAATTTGAGCTATTATGCCTGGGCTATAAGCCATGCCTAGTATTGTTTTGGAATTGGAAATCCAAAAAAAGCAGATTTGTACCTATCTAAAAAAAAAGTTTTTGATAGACCTGCTAGAAAATTGTACTTAGTTTATTAGCGAATTTATTAGAGAAGCCCTTCAGCTTTACTTTACTCTAGAAATTACTCATTTTTTCATAGGCATCGCTCTTAGACAAAACAAACCAATCATGGATTTTTTTACAGAGTATAAACCGAGATACCTATAAACCTAATGTTCACTTTATCCTCGACTTTATCCCTCTAGTCATTTCTCTTTTCTACCCCATCTACCCAAATTATTTTTGGCTATAAGGTATTTTAACAGTTTTCCTGAATGGATCAGGCATCTCCCGCTTCTGCAATTCAACAAGCTTGTTAGGCAAAAATTAGTCTCTAAGGCTTTTTACTCAAATAAGATGTTCGAGACTTAGTACCTGCTTGTTTCTTGTGAATTTGAATTTAACCTTAAATCAAAAGTATTTTAGAATATTTTTAAAGGTTATTTTTAATGATTTTATTATTTTATTTATATATATTTTTGTATTTGACCTGTGGTAATTGTTTTAACCTCGGTTTTAATAATATTATCATTATTATACAGGCTGAATCTAATGAATTTAATTAATCGTCACTTTCTGCTTTGTCTTGTTACACTCCATATTTTTACTAACCCCTGGACTAAGCACATAATGTTTCTCCGAAGAATGCTGCCTACAGGAAAACAATGGCATACAATTTCAAATCCTGCGCTAATCTTGGAACACCCTATCCTCGACCCGATTTAGCAAGTCTCTTCTATTTTTCATTAAATTCTAGAAACAAAAATCAAATGTGATAAATGCGCCCCTAATTCAATTTTTTTTATAGACTCTTGATTATGACAGAGATGGGTTGAATAAAATGAAAAAGGCCGTTAAGGCCATCCATACCTCTGGAATATGTAAGTATGTAGTCAATAAACTACACTACCTTCATCGTCCATACATATGCTCTTATGGTATTTTATTTTCAGTGCATGTAGATAATGAGTCTTGTCTAGTCAAGGCTTTGGAAAAAATAGGTCAAAATGCCATCACAAAAGAACATGAAGAGACAATCGGCAATGCATTCATAAAATTTGCAGTAGTTACTCAAGAACTATCGGCGCTTATGAAAACTCTTATGCAAAACCTCAGCAATATCGTAATGTTCCCCCTTGATAGTTTGCTGAAAGGGGACCTAAGAGGCATTAAGGGTGATTTGAAAAGGCCGTTTGATAAAGCATGGAAGGACTATGAAAGCAAATATGCTAAAATTGAAAAAGAAAAGAAACAGCAAGCAAAAGATGTTGGACTAATTCGATCTGAAATTACAGCAGCTGAAATTGCTGATGAAATGGAAAAGGAGCGAAGACTTTTTCAACTGCAAATGTGCGAGGTACTTAACTTGCTTTTTTTTACAACTATAAATATATATTCAAAATTTTGATGGTCCTTACATTTAATGTTGAAGCTAAAAGTGCAATATATCATTATTTTATCGAAACACACTCAAACTATTTAAAGGCTCGCTTTCCTCGGATGCGGGACGGAGACGGAACGGGTGCCGCAGACGTTGCCGTCATTAAAATATGAAGATGTGCTTTCCTAAGCAGCGGTGGCGCGACAGCGGCGGAGCGCGGTTTTTTTGACGCTAGCGGAATCACGCCACCAGTCGGTCGACAGGCAACTTCGACGGAGCGCAACTCGGACGGAATAATATTATATTGAAAAAAGTCGAATTTTACAGAAGAGCAAAGTGAGTTATTGACTGATTTAGTGAGGCAGTATCCCGTGTTGTATAATTTATCTATTTTTATGTTTATTAAAATAAAAAATAGCAAATCTTGGGAATTCATTTCCATACACGGTTTGCCGAACCGCCCACGTCGCGTCGCCTTCGAGGAAAGCACTAGCTCCCTAGCGCGATACGCCGGGAAGCGCTACGACTCCGTCACGCTTGCGTTCCGTCTCCGTCCCGCTTGCGTTCCGTCTCTGTCCCGCATCCGAGGAAAGCGAGCCTTTAGAAATTTTAAATAGAGACCATATTAAATTCTTCCACCGGAAATATGGATTTTTTGTGCATAAACTGTGAGGCGCTGCCTCTGAGATTATTGTTGTTAAAGACCGGAAAAAAAGATAAACTTAAAAACAAAAACTAAATCAATAAGGATTCTATACGGTAATGCAATAAAATTGACAAATTTAGTATCAAATTCATAAATAAATTACACCAAAAACAAAACTTTTTGCGCATTATTCAGTCATTATTGTTTTGAAGATAGAAAATTCGTTGTTGAGAAAGAAAACGTACTGTCTGACAGACTGCTGCGAATGGCTAGTATGTGACAGCTGAATATACGAATGAACTGCAAATGGTGTAGCAGGTTTGAAGACGAAGTTATGTGTTTAATGAAATGCCTGTTTTGAGTATATTAAGAAACTTTTTCTGACGGCCAGTATTTCTGGTTAAGAGTTTCAATATTACCTTTTTTAGTACCTCATCAAATACAATGAAATCAAAACAAAGAAGGGGATTGATTTATTGCAAAGTTTGGTGGAATATTATCATGCTCAAACAAAGTAAGTACCAGCCATCCCTAAAACTATGTAAAATTTAATAACTTTTTTTTTTTTTCAGTTACTTTCAAGATGGATTAAAAACAATAGAACATTTTGGCAATTATGTAGCAGATCTCAGCATAAAGCTACAAAAGATTAAGCAAGCCCAAGATGAAGAAAAACGAAAACTGACTGATTTACGAAATTTGATAAAATCTACTCCTAATCTGGATAAAGGCGATGTAAGTAATCAAGCAAAATTTTTCGTGACTGGAAAATTTTCTTCAAAAAAATGTGTGCCAGTCACGAAAAATTTATGAATTTCATAAAAAGAAGATTTTTACCTTTCCATTTATAAAAAGAACAAGTTCAATGAGGTGCCTGTTGCATCTCAAGAGGTTTCTGGATAGCCTGAAGCCTGACACGTATATTCGTAAAGATTGTCCTCAATTTATTATATTTTAATGTGCCGAGTTGGTTTTAATGATGTTCTTATGTTGAATTTACTGTTGTTGTCCTTTGAATTGACCCCCCTGTGCATCCTGACAAAGAAGCACTGATGATGGCCTAAGACCGAAAGCGCTCTGCTTTATGTAAAGAACTTTTGCATGTAATACGACAAACTCTAGTGCGTTCTTTCATCACTCACAGCACACAGCGACGTACCTCTTTCTTTATTGTGTGATCCCTCTTTTAAAACGTTTCTTATTCCTCTTTAGAGGCGTGACCATTTCATTTCAGCTACAATATAGAAAATGATCAAGAAACAATTTTGCCTGGCAAAGTTAAAGAGCATTCAGCTATTCTTTTAAAGCCCCATTAGGCTGAATTCACTTGAAACCACGTTGTGCAGCTGACACCCAACAGCAAATCATAATTCAACCATTTCTCGCCGGTATTCGGTAGTGCCCCACTGCTACACTTACCTTTAATAGTATAATCCTGTAACAAATGAGATCCTAACCTATTATGGTGGACAGCTTCCCCAGGGGACACCAATTACCAAAAAGAAATAATGAAATCATGATTTGTTGCCTTGGGTATGAGTGAAACGCAACTTCAATTTGTTAAGAGGAAGTTATTGAAAACATCTACTGCCAAATGCTTAAAGTCTAATACCAAACATGTTCAACTAGAAGTAGCTTACCAAAATTCTGATTTGAAGGGCAGTTATAATTTTATTGTATATATAATATACAAAATTAATAGTAATAAACAAAAATGTAATGCCCATATAATTCACAGAAACCAAATACATAACCAAAACACTAGAAACTGCAGCAATATTTATCTAAACCCTGTTAGAACTAATGTTGCATTACATAACCCATTAAGCGAGGCTTGAAATATATAGTTCATACCAAATAAACTTATAGTTGGGTTGTCAAGCTCGACCGGCACAGCGTTGCCGTCTCTTGCATATTTTCCTTTGGTCAAAATATTTTCAAAAAAAATAATGGATTATATTAAGCTGGATTTACACAGCAAATAAAATAAAATAAGATAACATAAGATAAAATAACAAATACATTACTAATGCATTTCTTATTTTATTTGGTATTTTCTGTATAAACACTTTAAGGGTATCTCATGAGGTTAACTGTTACTTCTTATTTCTTATTTTATCTTATTTTATTTTATTTGCTGTATGATATAATGCAAACATTTATTGAATTATAAACATTGTTTCAAAGCTTGGTTTAATAGATATTTAATAACAACTCATTTGTCAATCATCACATAAAATATAATCAGTACCCATTTTATTTACAGCCACTCTAAATACTATAAATAATTAAATATTATGTGTTTTGCGGGTAGCTAATACGTAATGTCTTAGCTGGTAGTGGACTGTATTTACTTTGCGGCGCAACCTCTAAATAATGATAAAAAGGACTTACCCAATGATTCCATAAGTGCACTCCTGCAGGGACCCTGCTTAACACACGCGCTGCGGATTATGGTGTTCCCAATTACGGGTTATGTAACTTTGTAGAAGGTTGATACGAGAGGGCTTCACAATGAAGTTTTGAGATTAGAAATATTGCGACCGGGTTAAGTCGTACGACGACGCGCCCGTGTCGTCTCATCGAGTTTCTTAGCAATTCTGTCCAATTACTCGCTTCTGGTACGTCCACTATCAAAATCTAGAGGTACGACCTTTTTTGCGCGAAACAAAACAAAAAAATGCGAGCAAACAGGAATTTTGCACCTTTGCCAAATTGTATAAAATTTATTTAGAATAAAGACGAAACATTATGAATATTTGAACCATCAAAAATATTTTCAATTATTCTGGATCACTGAAATCGCTAGAATCGCTAGAGTCTTCATCAACATTGATAAAAAGTGGAAGAACCTCTTGCCTGTCCATTACTTGTTCCCTGTTATACCACTCGTCAATTATTTCCACATTTCAAGGGTAACAGTTTCCAGTGCCTCTCGCCACATTTTTGAACAAGCATCTTAAGTATAACCATCTCTGCCAATATGTCGGTTATAATAGTTTTTTGCAATTCCCCAAATAAGTTCAATCGGGTTAAAAGTACAGTGGCATGGAGGTAGTCGTAAAACTTTATATCCATACTGTTCTGCCAAGTCATCTACCACATACTTTTTTGTTGGTTTATTCCTGAAAAAGCAATACTTGAAAAGTTGAGCATAAAATGCATACAATTTTGGTATTGTAGGTACTTACCTTGCAACAATGGTAACAAGTTCAGATTTCAATGCTGTATTTGGATACTCAACTTTCTGTTCGGTTAACCAATTTTGAATTTCAGCCTTGGAAGACGAACTATTAGGTGTCTTCGGTAATAACATGCTGTGGTAAGGAGCATTGTCTATAACAATGACAGATGGTTCAGTCAAGTTTTTCAGCAGCTGATTTTCGAACCAAAGTTTTGCTGATTCATTTCCCCATGATAGTCGTTAAGTTGAGTTTTCGATGAAAAAACGAGCAATGCACCTTCAATCAATCCATTTTCATTGCCAGCATGAAGTATGATATATCTAAAAAAAGCATTTAATTTGTACATCTAATACAACTGCTCTCTGTATTCATGTTTATATTCACCTTTTACCATCAACTTTGGTAGTTTTAACACGTCGCTTGGTATTGTCTTGCCAAGAGCGATTAATAGTACCATTTTGAAAAATTCAAGTCTCGTCCAAGAAAACAAACTGGTACAAAGCTCTACAAAGCCTCCTGTTTCAGTCTTAGATAAGACCTCAAAAATGATATGCGTTTAACAGCAATATCAGGAAGTTCCATCGTATAGCACTGCTATCGAGCTTTGAAACATCACAGACTCTCTTTGAAGTGCATTGTTTCTTAGAAGGCGATTCCAAAACTTCGTTATTTTTGACTGCCTCTGAAATAGCACAGACAGTGGACATACTTAAGTTCAAAGCCTCTGCTACGCGCTAAAAATGAGAGAAAATAAAGTTCAAATTGGAAATTCCTATTTGGTCACACGACATCAACGACTTGTGAACTCACCTTCCTAACAGCATTTAAGGGATATAAAGGGCCATTATTATCGCGTTCTCGTTCGAAATATTGTAAAAAGGATGCGATTAGTTCTTTGCAACGGCTGTTAAGCTGCTTCGGCATCTTGTACACTTCGCACTACAAGCTGTTTTTGAAAAACTAGCTCACAATAAATAGCACTCAAACCAACAACTCGTAAACTGCCAAAACGCAATCAAAATTCAAAATGTCAAGAATTTCATTTGGCAACATTACATTTTTTGAAGTGGTGTTACCAACTGAATGACCAGCGGGAAATTCAAATTCCAATTAAGTCAATCCGACGCCGAATAATTTCACGGTTGGCCATAACGATTTTAAAAATGGCGTCATCGATGTCACAACTACAAGTTTATTTGGTATGAACTATATTTAACAAGCTTCCTACTGATTTAAAAAATGAAAAATCTATTGATACTTTTGTTAGAAAATTGAAGAAACACTTTCAATAGTCAAAACAACTTGCATTTGCATATTGATTAGGAGGCTCCCTATTTCAGGTGTATATTAGAATTAGTTACTTATATGTGATAAATATTGTATATTAAATAATACTTGAATAAAGGATTTGTTTAAAAAAAAAAAGTTAGGATCATAGCTTAGGTAATTATAATTTTTTTATTGAAAACATCTACAGCCAAATGCTTAAAATCTAATATTAAACATGCTCAACTAGAAGTAACTTACCAAATTCTGATTTGAAGGGCAGTTAGGATCATAGCTTAGGTATTTATAATTTTTTTAACAGCTTATTCCTCCACAGTAGTCTACTGCCGAATGACAAATATAAAAATAGATGAGAAAAGAAAGGTACAATAGCTTGTTTACATTACCCTGGTCACTTTTTTTCTTACTTAGTGATGATTCATCAATTGGTATAATAATATTGAGATAAACAAATCCTCTTTACTTGCTGAATTGCACAAAACACCAATTTCAGATTGTTTCGTCGGGGAGCAGACTGCCAAAAAGACGTCTCCTACACATCGAACTGTGCACTCAAAGATATACGTTTTAAAAAATATGTACAGTGTGGAGAATGACCTTGCGGATCTAAATCCGGAGGGCTCCATTAAATTAGTAATTGCAATTAAGAAAAAAAAATATTTTCCGACTATTTTGAATTATCGTAAAAAACCTATTTTTTATGTTTAACTCACGATTGTGACGCCATTTTTCAATATTTTTCCAAAATTCTTGAACCAATTGAAATCCTAGCTAGTTATTGTAGATTTTACCTGCATGTGCAAAAAACTATTTTTTTTTAAACTGAATTTGTCAGATTACGTAAAAGAAAGCGAGGTACCAAAACTGAAGTGAAATATTCAGCATCGAGAAAATTTTTGAACGGTTGAAGATAGATATATGATCAATCGACGAAAAATGTGTCTAAATAAGTGAGGAAGTTTTTAGTGAAAATAAATTTGCACTAGTGATAACGGTTTCCGAGATACGATTTTTTTTTGTGAAACGCCGATGCGCGCCTGCCGCTGCCGTTTCAACGGAGACCCACTAGGTCCGACCTATACTTCAATAACTCGGTTGAAAGAAATTAGGAGGTCATTTGATCACAACCTGTAGAAAATGGAAGAACTATTCAACTATTTATTCCGTGTTAATAGTTGTTTCGTTAAAGTACGCAATGGATATGGACGGAATATTACCGCCTTCTCAAGAATATCGTCATAATTACCGCTGGAATGGCAAAAA